ACACCGAGAATCCAACATGAGGGACAGAATTCAACTCAGAGCATGAAATGTCAAGCTTTCCCTTCCAGAGGGAGAGTGGGGGCAGAACAGCAGTAGTTCCTCTCTGCTTAGACCAGCTTCTGGTATTGGCCGGGGCGTGGAGGGTTCTCCCCCAAGGGCTACAGTGACCGTCTGGTGGGAACTCCATATGGATTGCTCTGTGACTCTTTCCCCTTGTGAGGGATGAGCTCTAGGGAGCACCTGTGCTCTTGGTGACCTTTGAGCAGTTGAGTGGCTCTCCTCTCCACATGCATAAGCGTTGTTTAGACCTGTTTCTTTCTCTTTTATCCACTCAATGCCATTTTTTCCCTTAAAATGAGGAGTTCTGGTTGTCCCTTTGTCACTTCCCAAGAATGTCATTTTTAGTTTGTTTTTCAAGTCTCCTTCCAGGCTGTGGACTCTAAGAGGCAGGCTCACACTCCACCCTGTGTCTCTTGGAGCTCTGTAGACCCTGTTCTGATACAGGACGACAGCCCAGGTGGGGCAGGGTGGGGTGCCAGCCGGCTGCCTGGGTCCTCAGGACCTGCGGGGCACACGTGGAGGAAGTGGATATGTGCTGTCTGAGGAAGTCCTTACTGCAAAGAACTCAGCATCCTCAGTTTTGTCAGTTCTCCCTTCCTGCTTTGAGAACAATGTGTGGGAGTTCTGAAGCTTTATCATTTGGTCTTGAAGTGGGGTGGGGCCAGTGATGTCCCTGTGGGTTTGGGGGACATTTGTTTCTCCCTCTTCTTATCTTCCCGGCAGGATCCTTTTACTGTCTTGCTCTCTGCTGCTCACTGCCTCTTTCCCAGGAAAGCTGCCTGTGTCCTGATTGGTGGGAGCCCAGTGGCTCTTGGATCAGGTGCACATTCACAGCAAGGAGCAGAATCCGTGCATTGGCCCGGCCACGTGGGCGCCTCCTCTTCTCTTGGCTTTTGTTCTCTTGGTCGGTCTACACTCAAGGGGCAGCATACCTGCCTTGTGGTTCCAAAATCTCTGTGTGCACAGACCAGGGCACGCTTCCTCCAGGTCCAGCCAGGTCTGTGTGTTATCTCTACCTGTGATCCTCGGGTAAGCAGACCAACATTCCCTGCATGTTGGGAGAGGGAGTTGGAGGCCTCTCCGTGGTGTGAAGGTCCCAGGCATGCTGGACAGCCCAGTCGAGTGGAAGTCCTGTGCTTTGAGAGCTACGTGTCCCCTCTGGGCAAAGTGGCACTGTGCTCACCTTTCAGCTTCCATATCTGCTCTTTGTCTACTGGGAGCCGGGGAGAGGGGGTGGGGTGAGAGACTGGTGAGTAGTAACAGCACTGGTAGGACGCGGAGAGGAGCTGTGGGGAGGGGACGTGTGCGAGGTGGCTGAGTCGTGGGCCCTCAGCATGCTTCTGCCTGTGGATAATTCAGGGTTCCCCACCCTCCCCAGAGGGCGCCCTAGACACACGCTCTCCCTTGCTCCTCCTAATGAGCTTCCTCGGGAGATGTGGTTAGAGCTTGGTCGTCACCTTAATGCAAGCCTATCAACTCTTGTTTTATATTTTATCATAAAATACTTGACACATATGTATTATTTATACACTGCCAAGCCTACTAACAAAACAAACCTCAGAATCCAACACCCACCTTGTGCAATAAACCATCCCCACTCCCCACGATGCCTCTAGGGGCTCCTGTCTGACGCCATCCTCTGCCTCCTCTGGAGGTAACCCCTGTCTTGATGGTATTTGCCAACCCTTCCCCCTCCTGTAAAGTAGCCTTTACCATCTACGTGTGTATCTCCAAATAGCGCATTTTGAGCTTTATAAAAAATGAAATTATAGCCTTTGAGCTTCATTTAAATGCCACATATTCTTCTAGATGATAAAAAGCAGGTCTGTGCCCTTGAAACATGCATTTTCACCACTGCGGATAAATACTGTTTTCTCTGGTGGCATCTTCCTGGAATCGAGGGAGCGGCCCAGCCACCTGCACAGACTGAGACAGCGGGAGACGGGTGCCGGGCTGGCCGAGGATGCCGAGTCACTGGAATTACAGCCCACAGGAGTCCCTAGGCAGGCCTTTCAGGGGGGCAGTTGTTCTGGGCGTCTAGGGAGCGAGTGGACAGTAATCCCAACTCCAGTGATGGACTGAGGTGAGGGGGGAGGCTGAAGGGCAGAGTGCTAAACGTGGAGCTCCCAGAGAGGACCGAGGAGGGGTGTGGGCGAAGGCTGGTTCGCGACGGGCATCTGGAAACCAAGCTCCAGCACCTACACTCCTAGTGCGGGCAGACTGGTGCCTCCTGGTGGCCAGGGCAAGGTTTAGAACTGCAGAGCGAACAGGGCCACACTCTCTCCTGCCTGTATCGTTCAGCAGCTGTTTACTGAATGCCTTCTCTGTGCCGGGGGTATGTGTGCGTCATATCATACCAGGGAGAGACAGTGACTAAGACTTTTCCCTGCTGTTCAGTACTTTAGGGTCTCATAGGAAGTCACCTGTTACTGATCTATGCTGTGGTAGCACGCAGTCCCCAAACATCAGCGCTGACAACAGCAAACTACTCCTTGTTCAAGTTGCCTGTCGGCTGTGGGTTAGCTTCAGCTCTGTTCCATGTCCTCTGCCATCTGGGTCCCAGGCAGAAGGAGCAGCCCTTATTGGGCACATGTCATTTTCATAATAGAGGGAAAGGGGCAAGAAATGAAACCAAAACATCCATTCAAACCTGGCTTGCATCCCTCTTGCTCACAATCTACTGGCCGGAGCAAGTCATGTGGCTAAGACTACTGTCACCAGGGTGGGGACATCACCTTCCACACAGGGCGGTGCTGTGCTGCAAAGACACAGGACACTGAGCAAAGTGTAGACTCTTCTTTTGGGGGGCCCAGAGAACGTTTGGGAAGAGAATTACCATATATCACACATACAAGCAGGCAGTTGCAGTCACTGTATTACAAAGCTTTAGAGCAAGTCACTGTACTAATTTTGACTTTCTAAAATAAATTTATATGTAAAAAATACATCTATTTCCCCCTAAATTAGCTTTAGGGATCCTGTTGAGAAAGTAGTTTGAGAATCACTAGTTCGAGCCTGAGGAGTGTTCTGGAGAGCTACCCCGGGAGGAGGAGGAGGAGAGGTGGGGAGGAGGAGGAAGGCGGGGAGTGGGGCTGCAGTGGGCTTGTGTGCATAGGCTGTGTTAGTTGGAAAAGAAGCTTCGCGTACTGGTGGCCCAGCTGCCACCTTCAGGCATGCCTCTTGGGCCACCTTTCAATCATTTGGACTGTCTGCAGGCACATCTCTGCCTAGGGTCTCTTTGATGCTGCATCCACATACGTCCCACCTCCCCTCATACTCAGATCCACGTGACTTTATAAGGGCTCACGTTTTTTGCTTCCTCACTGAGTTACTTGACTTCTGTGGCCCAGGCTGTGGCTTCCTTTCATCCACTCCCCCACCCATCCCCCGACTCCTACCACTATGATGAGCACTTACCAGACACCCCACAATGTTGTCAAAAGGGAGTTTTATATCACGTGAAAGTCAGCACCCTGTCGGCTTATCTGTTGCTGTCTCTGCAAGGGTAGCCGGCAGCTGTGTGGGTGACAGTGGGAGTTACACAAGAGTGGCTCCAGTACATCTGGGTTGAAAGCCCTCTCTCCGCCGGTTTGTCATCAGTTCGGGGACTGAATAGGCCGTCCTCTCACAAGGAGGCGGTATTCATCTGCGCTCATGGGTTGCTTTGCAAATGCTAGTGGCCTTTTTCAAAGGGATGCATTTGTGTTTTCCAAGGGCAAGGACCGTATCTCCTCTTTTCTTCCCTTTGAAAGATTCCCCGTGGCACCGATAAGAGCTGCGCGCACAGTGGGTGCCCCCTCGCTATTGCCTGTCTCCCCTTCCTTTGAACCTCCAGCAGATCCCCAACATGGTTCTGGGCCTGTGGGCCTTTGCAGAAGACTGATTACACACAGGCCTTGATCTAGAGAATTTTACAGGTAAAAAAGGGAGGGGACTATCAGGCAACTCAGACCCAGACCAATAGCAAAGTTGCATAATTCGCCTCTCTCAGAGTACAGTGCAGGCTGAGTGCTCTCGGGCCCTCCCCGTGCCGAAAACAGTGATGTGGGACCACTCAGTGCTCAGCCCTGGGGTCAGCCACACAGGGCTTGGAATCCTGGGCTGTGAGTGTCATGGTCTGTCACCAGCTGCGTAGCCTCTAAGTCTCCATTTCTTATTCCACAACGTAGAAATAAAATGCTGTTCATTGTTGTGGTCTTTTGCATCTGTCAGTAACATCCTTCTTTCCCTCATGTTCTGGACCAGTTCAGACTTAAGAGTAAAGAGCTGGCAGAGAGTGGCCAAAATACTACCACTGTCTCAGATGAAGGGGTTGGCAAGAGGATGTACGGTTTGGGGGCTTCTAATATTGAATCCTAGAATTTGGTGAATGTTTCCACCGAGTCCCAGGCTGGTTAGATAATCACAAGCATCCTCTGGGCAGAAAGACTGTGTAAAACTTAGGTTTGGGATGGTTGAAGCAAAGGCATTCACTCCTCACTTGCGTCCACCATCCAAACTTAATAGGTGGTTGCTCTTCCTTCCCGGGCAGAATGCGGGCTGCTGGGAGAGACCGGAGGCAGATGCTGCACAGGCAGCTCCTCTGGTAGGGGTACATGGCAGAGCAGCCTTCTGCTGGGAAGTGGGGGCCTTTGTGGACCTTCTGGGACTCCACAGCCGTTCAGTTTTGTACTAACACTTGTATACACTGTTACAGTTGACTTTACCATTTATTGAAGTTAGCCTCTCGTGGGGTGCTTTTAGACATTATCCTGTGCAGTGGGGGAAACATAAAAGTCCATTTCTCATTTAGTCTTCTGTAATTCAGTCCTCCAACAGATAGACTCCTCCGTTCTCTGCCTTTGGTTCTGTGGTTAGAAGGGTGCTGGCTGTGTCCTGGGGAAGCCGAGGAGGGTCTGCCAGGCAGTATTCGTAAGGCTTGTTCTGTCTGTCTTTTGCAGTGCAAGTTGGAGTTCCATGCTTGTTCTACTGGGAGAAGCCTCACCACTCTCTGCGATGGGCCCTGTCCCTGTCTCCCGGAGCCTGAGCCACCAAAATCCAGGGCAGAAAAGAATGGTGAGTGAGCATCGCAGGAGACCCCCTGACGGAGGGGTGGGGGGTCGGGGTGGCCTGATGAGGCCTGGCTCCGCCGCACACGCCAGGGACCTGGGCTGTAACAGAGCTGTTCTACCCAGGCCGGGGAGGTGGGCGCACTTGGCGGGCACTCCAGCTTGTTTAGAAACTCCAAACTAAGCTCCCTTCCGCCTCCATTAAATAGAAAAGGATGAACTGAGAGTCTCTGAATGAGGTTCTGTTAGACCAAGACATGCGCTAGTTTCTTTCAGAGGTCAAGCTGGCTTTCGTATGGGAAGGGCAAGGTTTCAGCAGTCAGACTAGGCCTGCTGAGGGGTACATCTTGGTCTTCTGTGAACTCTAATCTCTAAATTCTTTGAACTTCTCAAGGCTGGATTTCAAAACAGAGATTGCAGAGATGTCACAATGGTGGAGAGTGTGCCCCTGCCCCTCGAAAAGCATTTCTTTATTAATATATTCTGCTTGGCATGCGGCACAGAGCCAGGGCAGATGAAAAGAAACCTCCTCAGGGGGCTTGGTGTCTCATGGCTGAGCAGGGCAGGAAAGGGCGGGCTTATCCTGGTGTCTTCATGATGGAGAAAGTAGTTTTATCCCACTGGTCTCAGCCCCTTTTTGAGCCTTCTGTAATGAGACCCAAGATGGAAGTTTGCATTGGCCTTCGTGAAGCTGGGCTTTTGCAGCTGGATCTGGCTGTTCCATGGAAAATGTTGGACATCTGTGTGTGTGTGTGTGTGTGTGTGTGTATGTGTGTGCACGAGCGTGCTCATGCATGTATTCTGAAGCCTACAACTATTTGTGATGGAGGAAGATGAATAGGATGTGAGTGTTTATCCACTTGTCTCTTCCTAAGCTGTCTTGTCTTTTCCAGGGCACATAGATGGAGATGTTCAAGTCTAAATTTGTTCATGGTGGTGACAACTGGAATATTGTGTTAAAAATTTCTTGGGGAGGTTTAACCCGGGATGTGGACATTGTAAACTGTAAAGCACTGTGGTCACAAGTAATCTCCATAGATTACTCTTGATTACCAAAAAGCTGGTCTTGTTGCATTTTGGGCTGATCATTTATGTAACTGCAGTAAGAAGGGTTAACTCATCTGTACAAACCTCCTTGTAGTTTGGTCAGAAAACCTAAAGCCCTGTGGTGCTAAGCAACTACAAAGTCTAGAAAATTAACTGTCTGGAGATTCCTTTCTTAGTAAGTCTTAATAGTGTCTCTTACTCCAGGTATATTGTTGGTTACTTTTATCTACTCTTCTATTCTGAGGCAAGAAAGCCAAACCAAGAAAGTCATTTCTACCATTTTGCCCGTGGTATCTACACATGGGGGTGAATGCATCTCTCCTCAAGTACCCCCAAATCTGCTAAGGTTTCCTGACTTGTCACAGTAAGGTAACAGACCAGTTTTCTGGGAGGGCTTTGTGGTTCTCCAGACAAAGTATACACCTTGTTTCCTCAAGGCAGGCTTGTTATACCTGATTAAATGAGATTTGCTCTCAAATATGACACTGCAAGTGTGGCCTTGGCTATACCATCTATTTGATGAGTTACTCGTGAAAACGAGAACAAATTCTTACTGAACCTATGCAAGTAACTACATTGCCATTAAAAGTAAAAAGACTCAGGACAAAAACGTGTTGTTACAGAATTCTGGGGGGGTCAGTGAGAACAAGGGTACCACTTGAAAGTGTTTCATTTCCACATGTTTGTAAAAGCATAGACCACTGACTTCATACTGAGAGATCAGGAAGCAAGAGAAAGGACTTCATTATGTGCCTATCAGAAATGAGGACAGTAAAAATAATACCAGCAGTATCCCAAAACCAGTGGTCAAAGTTTTATTTCCCTCACTTCAGTTTCTGCAGTCCTGCATCATTATTTTTGGTGCCACTGGCTCTTGGGTCAACATTGAACTTCTATGAAGTAAACTGACCTCTGGACTGAACAGTCCTGGAACTCCACACTCAGTCTCTCCTGTCATCTGGCGACTGTCTAAGAAATACCACCGTGGAAGCCTGTAGCAAGGGCTCTGTTATTGAAGTGCCCATCAGACTCGGCACAGTTCTTTCCATGAGGCTCTGAGACTGTCCTTCTCGGCTAAAGACCCAATTTCTGCTGTGACTTAAAGCAGAGTTTTTATATAAGCATGAGGGGAAGCAGGGACTTCCTGTTGGTGATAAGACTGAATGGCTATAGTTAATTTATTACATATCCAACAATATCCTAATGAAGGAGAGTATAATCCCCATCAGGGTGAATGCTTCACTATTTAAAACGGATTTGATCAATGTTGTTTTCTACAAGGATGAGGACATTTTACAGGCAGTGAGGGCACTGATAGATCCCCAGGGTCCTTATGTGAAATGAAACATATAAATTCATCACGTTTTACCTGGACAGACTCCGTCAAGGGAAGGCTGACTTGTTCCTTTGATTTGACAGTTCTTTCTGCGCATGTCTCAGAACCATTTGTGATGGGCAGTTGGTGCAGACCTGAGGCTGGGGCAGTGGGGTGAGGAGGAGGGGATGGGTGCACAAGAGAGATCAGAGGTGAAATGAAAAGCAGCCTTCCTTTGGCCATGTGGCTGTCGGGGTGGAGGGCAGAGACAGTGCGCCCATCAGTCCACCTTCCCTTACCTGGTGGCCACCTCCCTCAGAAGCTGCAGGCAATGGGAGTGGCACCTGCAGGCAGGCTGTCCACAGGCCGTTCATCGTGCCTCTAAGCGATGTGAGGAGCAGTCTTGTGTCTGTGCCTGTTGGAGAAATGACATTTCATAGTCCTACAAATACGGGGGGGTCAGAAACATAGCATTGTTGTTGTTGGTGATGATATTTCATTTTTAACCTTGCCTCTGTTTTGAACCTTAGTTCCATCTGGTAACACAAGCATTCAGTTAGTTACTTCCGTAAATTCTGTTAATTCAGGATTGTATCTCAACTTGAGGAAGTAGGGGGTTAGATGAAGGTTTACAAGCTACCATATTGGTATGAGGTGGTTCCTGGTGTGTCTGTTTGGCATCTACCTCTGCAGAGTTTTGCTATTTTTAAAGAGTTATCCAGCAGTATTCATCCTCAGTGCGTCCGAGGAGAGCTTAGGATCCTATCTGTGACCTCTGCTCCCCGCTTCCAGTAAGGTCATGCGGAATCGTCTTTCTTTCAAGTCATACTCTTCTGGGTTCACTAGTTTTCTCACGGCCCCTCCTTGGCCCCCTTTAGGGCCACAGAAAATTTAAGGATGCCCTTCAGTGACCTTCTGGTGTCAAGAAAGACTGTGGTGAGTTTCACCCTGAAGCCTTGTCTCCTTGGATCTGCCTGGCAGCCATTTCTCTTCCATGCAGAGGACATCTTTATGAGGCTTACCGCAAAATAGATTTCATATTGGGAGCAAGAGACAGGTCCTCTTTGCTGCTGGGGTGCCAGCTGCCTGGGGTTTCAGGAGCACCTCTTCCCTGCCCAGAACCCAGAGATGCATATGGCGATGGGGAAAGCTGTAGTGAGCGGAACCTCTTCTAGGGACTCAGCGGCCTCTCCCTGTGCTTCTTCCCCAGATGTTACCTCTTGTAGCTCCATCTGTGATCAGCACTGGGTGTGCATGTTGAAGGTGTGTGAGGCCAGGGTCTGCCTCATTCTCGTCTCTGCTTCTTCTCTCCTTGGGCCATTTGAGTTACAACATATCCAGTTCTTGCAAATCTGAAGTCTCTTGTCTCAGCTTTGGTTGCAAAAGCATCTTTAGGAAGACAGACAAATGGTTGACTTATTGTTTTGTTCTCTGTGTTTCTTCTGACATCGCTCCTTTGATGGGGCCCTTGAAGAGTTGGTGGAGGGTGAGTCATCCTTGAATATCTGTGAATATGTCCTCGGGCACCTCTCAGTTACCTCATGACCTTGGACAAGTTACTTAATTGCTTTATCTCTCTTCTCTATGATGACACCCTCCAGAGTATAGAGTAATGATTGTCCAGAGAAAGGGAGCAAATTAAAGAGAGGGAGGTGAAATTGAAAGCCATGTGTTAGGCCTGGGTTTCTGAGCCTTTTCTAAGAACCTCGCAGGAAAGATCCTTCCCCAGTTTCTCTTGGAATTTCCTAGTGCCCAGCGGCCAGCCAGTCAGGAAGTCGCCTCTTAGATCTGACAGTGACTCTTCAGCTCTGGGTTTTGCAGCTGCATTTTCTTCAGTCCTCAGTGAAGAGTATGAGGAATGCCTGCAGCCCTCACTTCTTGATTTTTTTTTTACAGGGGTTGAAAATGTAAGAGTAAAATAGAAGTCTCTTAAACGTAAGAGTCTTTAAGACACATTTTTAAACTAGCCAGCCATTCTAGCCATTCTCCTCTTCCAAACCTGCTCCTGTCCCCAACCTGACTCCCCTGGCGTCATTCACAGAGACAGACCCCTCCCCTTGGCCTGGGCTTGGCAGCCTCAGTCCATCTGGAGGAGGGACTTGGCACTCCCTCTCTGCTGGGGGGAAGTTTTGCAGTTGGAAGATATCAGAGCGGGAAAGATCTCAGCTCTCTGACTCCATACCATATTGAGGGGACCTTTGTGTTCCTGGAAGGTAACTCAGGTTTCCCCATGAGGACCAGGGGAAGGCCGAGTGGGTGGCGCCTCCAGCCTCCCCGGGAGCAACTCCATTTTTGTGCCTGACCACATCAGAGTGTGGCCACCAGTGAGCCCTGCTCAGTACCCATTTACCCAAAGAGAAAACTGAAGGCCCCATTGAGAGGGAGAATCTTGCCTAAGGTCAGACCGTGGGTTGGTGTGTTGCTGGGTTACGACCTGGGCCTCTTGACTCCTGGGCTAGTCCCTCTGTTCGCCTTTGTGTTCACCCGTAAGCCACCATCAGCCAAGTCTGTGGCCTGAAGATGGTAGAGGGTCTGTAGCTGAGTTTGGTGGGAGGTAGATTTATTTCTCTGGGGCCTGATGTCACTTGCCTGAATCTTGAAGTGTTAACCGTCAGGCAGAAAATATCCCTGTGTTCCCACAGCCA